GGAAAAAGCAGGGGCTAAAGATAAACAGACGGCCAAATAGCAATCACCGATTCCAGTCTAGATCGAGCCGGAGGAACAGGTAATCGAAGAAGAAGAAGAGGATTTCTTTACTCCTCGAACTTTCGTTGTTCCTGAAGAGTCAGACGCAACCAAGTCAACGGTCGAGGAACTGGAACAGGTCATACTGATCGAGTACATGCCCGAGAAAAAGGTATATCTGGGAACGGGATTAACCCCCGAACTTAGGAAAAAACTCATTCAATTTCTTATCGATAATATGGATTGCTTTGCTTGGTCCCATTTAGACATGACAGGGCTCCTGCCGGAAATAACAACGCACCGGCTAAGCATCAACCCTAGGTTCAAACCAGTAAAGCGAAAAAGGAGACCCCAGTCCGAGGTGAAGCATGCATTCATAAAGGATGAGGTAACCAAGCTTCTTAAAATAGGGTCTATTCGGGAGGTAAAATACCCCGAGTGGTTAGCCAACGTAGTTGTAGTTCCTAAAAAGGGAAATAAACTTAGAATGTGCGTAGCTTATAAGGATTTAAACAAAGCATGCCCTAAAGACTCTTTTCCACTACCTAACATCGATAGCATAATCGATGCCACGGCCGGCCACGAGATCCTTACCTTTCTCGATTCCTACTTCGGGTACAATCAGATTCAGATGAACCCGGGGGACCAGGACAAGACCTCGTTTATCACTAAGTTTGGAATTTATTGTTACAACGTAATGCCTTTCGGGCTAAAAAATGCAGGATCTACATACCAACGCCTAGTTAACAAAATGTTCGAGGAACAGATAGGTAAATCGATGGAAGTTTACATTGATGATATGTTGGTTAAGTCCCTGCGTGCAGAGGACCATTTAACTCATTTGTAGGAAACATTCAAAATATTCATGAAGTACAACATGAAGCTTAACTCGGAAAAGTATGCCTTCGAAGTCGGCTCGAGTAAGTTCCTCAGCTTCATGGTATCAAATCGGGGTATCGAAATCAACCCTGACAAGATCAAGGCCATCGAGGATATCACAATCGTGGATAGTGTGAAGGCCGTGCAAAGGCTAATAGGACGAATAGCCGCCTTGGGTCGATTCATTTCGAGGTCATCAGATCGAAGTCATAGGTTCTTTTCCTTGCTAAAAAAAAAGGATTTCGCATGGACCCCGAAATGCCAGCAAGCCTTAGAAGAATTGAAGCGATACTTATCGAGCCCGCCTTTTCTTTACACCCCGAAGGTAGATGAAAAGCTTTATTATATTTGGCAGTGTCTGAGATAGCGGTAAGTGGGGTACTAGTTCGAGAAGAGCAAGGTGCGCAATTCCCTGTTTATTATGTAAGCCGAACTCAAGGAGATGCTGAAACTAGATACCCTCACTTAGAAAAATTAGCACTTGCATTAATAAGCGCATCTAGAAAGCTAAAGCCATATTTTCAGTGTCATCCCATATGTGTGTTAACCACTTACCCCCTTCGACATGTTTTGCATAAGCCCGAACTATCGGGCCGGTTCGCCAAATGGGCCATCGAACTTGGCGGGTACGATATCGAGTATCAACCCCGAACGGCCATCAAGTCTCAAATCCTAGCCGACTTCGTGGCCGATTTTACGCCGACCCTCATACCCGAAATGGAGAAAGAACTCCTGCTAAGATCGGGTACATCATCGGGGGTATGGACCCTTTTCACAGATGGTGCCTCGAATGTGAAAGGGTCCGGGCTTGGCATTGTTCTGAAGCCACCTACAGGTAGTAACATTAGACAATCTATCAAAACTTCTAGGTTGACTAATAATGAGACCGAGTATGAGGCCATGATTGCAGGTCTCGAGCTAGCTAAAAGCTTGGGGGCAGAAGTCATTGAAGCCAAGTGCGATTCACTGTTGGTGGTAAACCAAGCAAACAAATGTTTTGAGGTTCGAGAGGATAGGATGCAATGGTAGTTGGATAAGCTACAGGTAACTTTTCACCGCTTCGAGGAGTGGACTCTAGATCATGTGCCTCGAGAACAAAATAGTGAGGCAGATGCACTTGCTAATTTGGGGTCATCGGTTGAAGAAGATGATATAGTCCCGGGGTCTGTCGTCCAATTATCGAGGTCTGTGGTTGAAGAGGGTCATGCCGAGATAAATTCTACAAGTTTGACTTGGGATTGAACGAATAAGTATATCGATTATTTGAAAAATGGAAAACTCTCATCGGACCACAAAGAATCGAGGGCCCTACGAACCAAGGCTGCTAGGTTCATATTAGATGAAGATGGAATGTTGTACAGGAGGACGTTCGATGGACCATTAGCGGTATGTTTAGGGCCGGGGGCCACCGATTATGTTCTACGAGAAATCCACGAAGGTACTTGTGGGAATCGCTTTGGCGCCGATTCTTTGGTTCGCAAAATTATTAGAGCAGGGTATTACCAGGATAGCATGGAAAAGGATACTAAGGCGTTTGTTAAAAAAGTGATAAGTGCAACGGTTTGCACCAATGATCCATCAGCCCGGAGAGCAACTCCACTCAGTCCTATCCCCGTGGCCTTTCATGAAATAGGGAATAGACATAGTCGGCCCTCTACCAACGGCCCTAGGTAAAGCTAAATTCATTTTGTTGATGACTGATTATTTTTCTAAATGGGTGGAAGCACAGGCCTTCGAGAAGGTCCGAGAAAAGAAAGTTATTAACTTCATCTGGGACCATATCATATGTCGGTTTGGGATGCCTGCCGAGATTATATGTGACGATGGAAGCAATTCGTCAGCAACAAGGTAACGGAGTTCCTCGAAGCACACAAAATAAAGAAGATCTTATCAACACCGTACCACCCAACCGGAAATGGGCAGGCCGAGTCAACAAACAAAACTATCATTCAAAACCTAAAGAAAAGGTTGGACGATGCAAAAGGATAATGGAGAGAAGTTCTACTCGAGGTCCTTTGGGAATATGGAAAAACATCAAAGTCTAGCACATGGGCTACTCCGTTCTCTTTAGTATATGGCTCCAAATCCCTAATCCCCGTCGAGGTCGGAGAACCCAGCACCAGGTTCTGACATGCATCAGAAGAGTCAATTCACGAGGCTATGAATACTAGCCTTGAGCTATTATGAAAAACGAGAGGCAACACTTGTTCGGATGGCCGCGCAGAAGCAAAGAATCGAGAGATACTACAATAGAAGGACCAACCTTCGACACTTTAGAATTGGGGACTTAGTCCTACGGAAAGTCACCCTCAATACTCGAGACCCGAATGAAGGGAAACTAGGCCCAAATTGGGAAGGACCGTACCAAGTCATCGGAGTTGTCGGTAAAGGATCTTACAAACTTGGCACGATGTAAGGCGAACAATTGTCAAATAATTGGAATATATCACTACTCAAAAGATACTACTGCTAAGGTATGACTATCTCCTTTTGTCCATTTGAATTTAAAACTAATCCATTGCAGGTGTTCGATTGAAGATATCGAGGGCACCTTTTTACACGAAGACCTTAGGTTTTAAATCACGCGTTGCACTCTTTTTCCCTCAGATCGAATTTTGTCCCAAATTGGTTTTACCGGCGAGGTTTTTAACGAGGCAACAACTATAGGCTACCTAAGGAGAACTCAACAGTATCCAAGGCTTCTTTTCAATCTACCTCGAATACTGGGGGCATCACCCTCGGAGGTTATATTTTCGAGAAAAATACTTCACGCCAAAGAGGGCCTCGATAGGAGAACTTTGTAATGGCCAAACTTTTAGATGAACCGTGTCCATATAGAACAGTCGAACCCCGATGGCGAAACATGTACGCATTATTCGAAGAAGCATTCTTTCTATATCAAAACACTTTGTGTCTCAAAGAAGTCTACTATTATACGAGCTTTATACTTATAATTCTATGAGAAACGGCTCAAGGGCCAGAACGCAAATACACCCCGAATACTCGGGGACTGTCATCGACAGTCAACACATCCGAGTCATGAAAAACTCGAATTCATAAGACCTCAAAGAGGCGTCCCCTCGATATAAAGGCCAAGGCCATCATACTCGGGGACTAACCTTTCGAACAAGTTCGAAAGGTTATCGGGAAACAAGTCCAAGAGACATACCCGAAGGCTGCGGCTATATTAAAGGCTATGGCCATATTAAAGACTACGGCCATATAAAAAGGCTACGGCCAAAATAATGCGGCTCGGAGACATCCGACTTCCGCCATAAGTTAAAAGACCTTAAAACACTTTGAAAAATTGGTTAAATCAGGCTACCTTTGGAAAAATCTAATGATAAAGGGCTTCGATAAAATCAGCCCTCGAATAATTTAAAGGCTTCAATAACATCAGCTTTCGAAAGAGCCTCAAGAGGCATTCGATTATCGTTACCCAAACAAATTACAAATAAGATTCCGATCGGTCGAACCTTCGAAAAACCCAATGGGCACAAAAAACACATGCTAAGGCATAAGAAAAATTTTCACTAAGTCTTTCAATCGAAAAGAGGGAAAAATTATAGCCGAGGACGAATTGGCCCAACTTAAAGAGCCTAAGGGTCGACCTAAAAGAGCCTAAGGGACAATATAAAAGAGCCTAAGGGCCGAAGCATGCAGAGTTAGAGACCTTATTCTCACTGAACTCGGACTCAAAAGTACCATCATCCCGAGCTCGCACCAAATCGACTTAAGCATAGCTCGAGGGCTAACAAAAACCTTAAGAGGTATTCTATTATGAGTTCGAAGATCGCCCATTGATCACAAAAAACCTAAGGGTTTGTTATATTCTGAGCCCGAGCCAGTGCTCACTTGATTGTTGAAATTATAACATCAAAATCTTTTCATAAATGAAGACGAATTAAAATTCAACACAAATCGGAGATAAAGTGAAAAGAAAGAGAGTTCATTATATTCAGATAAAGTATTTATAATGCCCACAAGGAGCCTTACACAAAAACAAAACGAAGGAACCTAATCTACTTAGGGTCCACGTCCTTGGGAGGTGCGTCCTCTGGAGACGCATCTTCAGGAACCTCCTACTCAGGGACTTCATTCTCATCTTCTCCGCTCTCGGAGCCACTGGCGAAATCGTCACCATCACAGAGTAAAGTGGCAGCCTCGTCCTCCAAAGTTTTTGCTTTGTCAATGTCAGTTGAGAGGTCGAAGCCACGAGCATGCACCTCCTCGAGAGTTTCTCTCCGAGATTGTCGCCTGGCATGGTCGAGAGCACGTGATAACTTAACTTCAGCCGCAATGGAGATCTCTTGTGCCCAAGTGTTTGCGGCTTTGGCGTCAGCTCGATACGAGGACTCAAATGCCTCCGCCTGATATTTGGCCTTCGTAAGCTCAGCGGCTGATTTAGCTTCGAGCTCCTCGATTGTGCGGCTCCGGGCCAAGCTTTCCTCTTTTGCATTTTGAAGCTGGCGTTCGATTGAAGTGAGCTGCTCCCGAAGTGTATCTTTCTCTGAGGCGAGACAGTTCATGTGTTGTTTCCACCCTAGGGTCTCGACCTCTTTCATCTTAAGATTTTCTCGGAGCTGCTCCACCAACTCGCCCTTCTGCTGGGCCTACAAAAATTGAAGTGTTAATCTCTAAATCGAATGAAGACATAACAGACCCCCAAAGGCTATATTACCTTTTCGATAAGTTCAGTCTGTTCCTGACGAGCCTTCGCCAACTCAACTCGGAGATCTCTGACTTCTTCCTCTTTCTGTACATAGAGGCGCTTGTGGTCGTCCCTCTCTTCCATCAACTTCCTGAGTTCAGCTTCACACCGAGCAAGCTCGGCTCGAGATTTGGAAAATGCTTGCCGATGAAACAACACAGCCTTTACGCAGAGAAAAAGAATCACACTTAGGAAAACAAGAGTAAAATTGGATCGCAATTATGAGGACAAAACCTTACTTGTCTAAAAAGCCTCTGGGCCTCATCAAATATAAACGGGGCGTCAGGATCAGGACCATCTTCGACCCCTGCTAGGCACTCCCGAAAAATATCACTCCCCTCATGGGTCGTTTCCACATCAGGAGTCCTCATGGCCTGGGCATCTCGGAACTGCCCTTCAGAGAATACGGGGCCGGGCGGCTAGTCATCTACATTAATTATCCCAAGTGATTCACTTGGGATATTATCCTCTCTTTGGAGGGCCTCGAAATTTGGCTCTTCGGGCTCGCCCACCTAATGTCCCACGGGACGAGATACACTTTTACCACCTGATGGCTTGGGGACTCTGCTCGAGCTCCCCTCTAAAATTTCTTCACTTCCAGATTGAACCACGTCAACCACCATCGTTTCAGCAGCCTTCGAAGTGTCAGTGCTTCCTCTTTTTCGAGCTACCAACAGGAAGTCGTCATCTTCTCCCTCTTCATCCTCATCTCGAAAGCGTTGGGCCATTTCTGGAGATAGGGCCCCGGAATCGGCCTTAGGCTTTCGAGCCTTGCGTTTCTTTGGCTTCGGGGAATTTGTAGACGCCCCCCTTTTCCTCTTATTTTCCTTGGTAGGCTTTGGAATTTCTTCTTCGCCGAGCGGGGGTGGCCACATAGCAACGACGTCTCTAGGCCTGCATAATGATAAAGTAAGTATTTCACTAAGAAACATAAATATGTGAACAAGAGGACTCACCATGGTTTTTAGCTTCCCATCGACCCTTAGCCAAGTCACACCAACTGCGTTCCGCATATGAAGAAGTAGAGGCCAGTTGCCGGACCCAGCCCGCGGGGTCCGGGACCGCACCAAGAAACCAAGCAACAACTGCATCATCAGAAAAGAATAAGATCAAGAAAAGGTAGGGAAAGCAGGATATTAATCACCGTTGATAAATTTGTACTTACGTTTCATGTTCCACTCCTCGGGGAATGGCATCCTCTCGGCAGGAATCAGATCGGAGGTCCTGACTCGGACAAACCGGCTCATCCATCCTCTGTCCTTGTCCTCATCGATACTGGAGAAAAGGGACTTCAAGGATCGGCGCTGAAGCTTTATCAAACCCCCTCGATAAAGGTGAGGGCTATATAGCCTGATCAGGTGGTCGAGGGTAAAAGGCATCCCCTCGACCAAGCCCGAGAAATATCTGATCAGATTAACGATGCGCCAGAAAGAGGGGTAGATCTGGCCAAGTGTCACTTGGTATTATTGGCAAAAATCAAGAATTACTGGGTCTATGGAACCCAGAGTTGGATCTGCGGGGCCCAATGTGAAGGGGTAGGTATACACGCTTAAGTACCCTGCCTTATGGGTAGTGATGTCCTCTTCAGGGGAAGGGATCACAACATCTTTGTTCTCCCAGTTGCAGTCCTTTTTCACCTGCTCAAGTTCGCCTTCAGTTATTAAGTAGATGTATCGAGACATGGGCTCACATCGACCTGGTGTCGATGCAGATTTATTGATTTTAAAATCGAAAGTTAGCTCACAAGGCCCGAGAATACACTCCTCGATACGAGGTGGCACCACCGTTCTACTTTTGGCCGGCCGCGACGATGAAGATTTTTCTTTCTGGGGAACAGTTTTAGATGTTTTAGCCATTGTGGTAGAGAAATTCAAGAGAAGAGAAGAAGTTGATGCTGTAGTAAGAACAGATTGGGAAAAGGATGAACTCAGAGAAGTTGAAGAAGCTAATGAGATCCTAAGGATGATTTGAGAAGTAAAGATTGCAAAAATTGTGGAATTGGCCTATTTATAGAGGTCACTTAAACAGTTTGGGGAAGCCAAATAGTTGACCAGCAACCGCCTCCAATTAATGACCTTGGGAACTACGTGGAAGCGACTTTTCAATCACTTCAGCCGCTGACATCACGAGATTGACATCATGGTCGAGGCTATAGAGCATCGAAGATCAAATCGTTTCTTATCATCTTACTCTAAGAAACGCGGGGACTATCTGCATACGGTTAAAATCAGGTATGCTCGATTTCCCGGGCTCGAAGGGTTGCTTTAAGTCCGAGTCCAAGATGAATCGAGATCGAGCTCGATAAACTAGGCTCGAGCTTGATGACAGAGTACAAGGCCCGAGGATTGAAGTTCCCGATGAGTATCGAAGCCGAGTATGTTTAACCCCGAGATAATGCCGTTATGGGTTTGTAACAGAATGAGCTAGATTCCTGCCACGTCCCCAAGATCGTGGCGTAAATCCCGGAATAGATTTGTACGAATCCGTACTAGGCGTTTAGACAGCTGTCCCAATAAGATTCTTTACTGTAAATAGAAATGTACCTTATTTAGGGTTCCCCTATTATATAAAGGGGACCCCAATCATTTGTAAACATCATCTAATCATTGGCAAGAATACACTCTCTTACTTTTTCGCTCATTGTTCATCAGAATTGTCCTTTAGCTTTATTGTTCTTGGTCCATCTCGAGGTCACTTTGGCTCGAGGTCGAGACTGATCTATATTCTGGTTTGATTTTACTTGTTCCTTCCATTTATACTTCAGGTTTCTTGGTTATTAATTGGTAATGAACTAAATCACGTATCTTTAAAACCATAAATCAAACTTAATTGTTACTCGTATTTTCGAGGTAAACACTCCATTAAAATATATACCTCCGTTTCAATTTAGATACTATATTTTGTTTACCGAAAGTTAAATTGTATAAAATTTGACCAATATTTTAAAATACTATTAAATTGACAGGAGAAATATTATAATTTATAATACTTTTTATATAATATTTAAATATCTAAATTTTAATTTTATAATATTGAGTTGTATTAATTCAATTCAATTTTAAAATTTAGTTAAATTAATTAGCGATAAGCGAAATATATTATCTAAATTAAAATAATAAAAGTAAATAAGAAAGTTTTATGTGCTCTGTCGTCAAAAGGAATTCGCGCGTAAGTCAATGCCGTGTGGGTCCACTAAGTGTGGCTAATATAGCTATGTGGGTTAAATAAAGTCACAAATGTAGGGCCCAAAGATAGGTCCTATGGTTAGTCTCTTCCTTCTTTCTTTAGGTGGCTCGTCAGTTCACTTCTTTTAACTTTGGAATCCCAGGCAGTAGTTGGCGCTAAACCATTTTAAAAGCATAGGCTCGTTATAGGTAACATTGATTGGAACAAAGTAGGGATATTAGTTCAAAAATTGAAGATCTAAAATAATACTAAAGTAGTTATTAAAAATGTGAAGTTCTGGTCTGATAAAAGCCTTGAGGTTTTGGTCGGATATAATGGTGTGAAATTAAAAAATAACCGGATTTACAAGTGATAATTGAAAAATAGCCAAAGTTTCAAAAGTAATCGAAATTTAGCAATTTTTCATATAAAGATAAATCTGAACGAAAACGCTGTTAAAATCCGAAAAATATTCCAGCATAATATACTGGAGTTCAAATTTTTTACATGTGAACTCCAGCATAATATACTGGAGTTCTAGCATATTATGCTGGAAGTTCATACACAGGTGCTCCAATCTCGAGTATATTATGCTGGAACTTTCCGTGTGGTGGAGTTCCAGCATCATATGCTGGAAGTACATACACAGGTGCACCAATCTCCATTATAGTATGCTGGAACTTTCCATATTGCAGCAAAATAGTGACTATTTTACAGTGACCAGTCTGAAAACTGGCTAGCCCGTGCTATTTTCACGATAATATGGCCTAAAATGGGAGACGTATTAAGTTGGGTTGACAAAATGAGTTTGTCATGCAAATATTATGTAAGGTGAGTTGTTGACGTGATTGTACTTACATGATAATTTTAAACATAGGCCTACTTATATTTTTTTTGGTACTTAATAGAGTATTTTTTTTCGGCATTATTTTAGTTTGTAATATATAGACATGCTTGAGTAATTTTTTTCTTTATAATAATAAAAAAATATAAATATTATGGCTTTAATGCTATAAATTGACGGTAATATGATCATCCGTGAAATTAAACCTTAGAATGTGAAAGTTTAACCAGTCATTGAAGGTTGATAAAACAAGCCACTACGGTGCTTCACTCTTAAGTGTTGAAAATTCTAGCATGAATGAATTTTTTGAGCACTTATTTGAGAGACTGCATATAAACGTTTAGAATCTGGTTAAACATCTCAAAACCCCATAATTCATGATTTGCTTAACTGTTGTGAAAGAGAAGATTACATTGAAACTTAAGACCTGGTTAACTAGCTTAGGTGGATTTAGGGGCAACTGCACAAATAGTCATTCCCAAGGATGTTTATTAGAGATTAGTTAGTACTTAATGACATTTTTGTCCCGAAAAATTAAACTGAAAAAATTGAAATTTAGGACGCACTGGTTAATTAGCAGCCCTTTAGAGTGGCTACCTGGTACCATTTCTACATGGATCAAGCAACCATGGGCCTAAATATAGCAAATGACTAGCTAACTTGATTCTTGCTTTGAAGTTGTTAGGAGAGACGGAAAGGAGGAGGGAGGAAATTGCTCCTTTTCTTAAAATAAATAACCATATTTTCCCAAGTTACAAGATTTAACTAATTTTGCAGCTATATTAATTTACAGAACCATCGTCAATAAAACAGATTAACATAGAATAAACACAGCTTACAGTTATGATATTCAACAAGGTCTATGAAAAGCTCATCTTCTCATTTTGATGTTAACTGGAATCTCTTTGTATGACTGAACCTTTTCAGCTGCTTTACGCGATGGTCTTCCACTAGAAGTCCTTCGCGAAATTTGAGCTACATTTTCTGAGGAATCCTTCATCACTTCTTCAACGCTAGAGAAAGGCAATGGAGTAAGATCGTCTTCGTGAACTGGGCTATTAAATGGTACAGCAAGACCTTCTAATTCAAACAAGTCCTCGGCTGCTGGTTCTGACTGTTGGATTTTAGAATTAGTAGACTTTCTTCTCAAACATCGCCTGAAAACGAACAGCAAAACTATTTAACGTTCATGTATAAGCTATGTACAAGGCTAGCTTTATGTTGTAAAGAAAACTGACCTTTTGTTTTCTGCTGCTTCTTTCTCTGCAGATTGTTGAGAGGATGTTGAATGTCCCATGGCTGAAAGATTATTTACAAGTTAGGGAATACAAAATAAATCAGAAATCAAGAGTGCATTAGAGGAAGTGTAGGATTTACATTGACTTCTTGTTGCACGTTGGCGTCTGTTACCATTTCTAGGCTTGCTATGTTTGTTCAATTGAGAGTCAATAGCCATGAACTCTTCATCCTAGAGCCAAAAATACGAAAATCTACTTAGTGAGAGAGTTAGAAGAATGCCAATAATCGCAATGGAAAACAAATTGGAAGTTTCAGTAGCAAACCTGCATGTTATTCTTTAACTGCTCCCTTTGTTCTTGTTCCTGCAATTACATGAAGTTGATACAAGTTTATGCCTCTAAAAATTGATATCAAAAAGAACAATTGATCAAATTTAAAACAAGATTAGGTGAAAGTTCATGCTATTGCCAAGATGAATTGAAGCCTAAAATTCTATACATTTCAGAGTTTCTTTCAGTAAATACAACAACAACAACAACACCATACCAGTGTGTATGCAAAACTTACCCTTTCTTTGTGGAGATAGAGACACTGTTTCCAATACACCCTCGACCTTTCAGTAAAGATAGTAACAAAACAAAGATAGTACAGAAAACCATACCTCTTCTAAATTCCTTGATTTTAGTAATGCTTCTTTGCAAACTAGCTCATGTTGTAGTGATTTCATCTGTTAAAAAAACAAATTACTACAACCTTTTTAACAAGTTCTAATTGCCTCTACAAGTTCAATTTTTTTTAATAAAAAAGATTTACCTTTTCCCTGTTTAAATTGAGTTCTGCTAACATATGACTATTTGATTGAGCAAGATTCCAGTTCTGTAGCTGCATTTTCTGAAGATGAATCCTCATTTTCTGTATCTCAATCCCACTCAACTCTATAATCTTGCTGTTTAACACAATCAAACCATATAAAAAAACATCAAACAACTACATAACAATTAACAACAATGTCAATAAAAAGAATAGCATGCTCTAATTATATGAAATACACACTTTTTGTCTTGAACAAGTTTCACCAACGCCACATTTTCCTGTTCAAACATACAAATAACAAAAGAAAACTCAGAAAATCACAAACAAATCACCCAAAAATTAATCAGAACAACAACAACAACAACAAAAAACCTAGTGTAATCCCACAAAATGGGGAGGGTAGTATGTACGCAGACCATACCCCTACCTTTGAAGGTAGAGAGACCGTTTCCGATATAAACCGACCGAAGGTAAGATGGCCAAAAAACTAATCAGAAATGACCAATTAAGACAAGAAAACATACTTTGGCGAGATGATTAATGTAGTCCTTCATTGAAGAAACATCAGGCGAAAACTTATCGACATCAATAGGCGATTTATGTTGTGTTTGTGGAAGAGAATTTGTTATATCTGATAGCCTCTTTCTCACTATGCTTCCAAAAGAGGATCTTTTCGCCATTCTATCCCCTTTCATTCTTACTATATTCAAGAAAACCCAAATTGAGTAGTGAATAAATGACTTCAAAACTCAAACCCCAGAAAATATTTCTGTGGAACAAACTCTCATATACTCAAATTCAACACAAAGCTGAAACCTGTAATATTAGTAAGTAGTTAGTGTAGATTTTTAAAGTAAAGAAGTTTTAAAAGTACCGTGATTAAAGAAGATTCAATTCTCAATAAAACCCTGATTTTTTGTGTTCTTTTCTTCAGAAAGAAAAGGGTATTTTGATTGCCTGTGATGAAGGAGAGAATCTGAAGAAGATAAGAAAGCAAAAATGAAAATGAGAACTAAAGAGAAAAAGAAAAGGAAAAAGAAAAAGAACTCTTAGGTTCAGACTTCCAACGGCTTTCCGAAGCTAATAAAACTGGTTTGGGAAGCGTCCGAGCCTAAGTTTCAAATTTAGAAGGCGATAATATCTTTATTCTTGATTTCGATTCTTCCTTTTCTCTTCTTTTCTTTTCTTTTCTTTTCTTTTCTTTTTAAGTTTTAACATTCCCTTTCTTTTTTCCTTTTTAGCAAAAATGTAGAAAAGTATATTTTGGAATTTTGAAAACCATGTCAAAATTTTTCATACACTTCGTTTTGTTTTGTTTTGTTTGTACGAAGAACAATTCACTTTTATTTATTTTTATTTTTTGAATGTTTATATTTGGTTTTAATATTTGATTTGAAATTATTTTGAGTGAATTTATTTATTTTAGTGTCGATAGTTGAAAACAAAACAACTGTTTTCTTCCTCATATCGTTTCAATTAGTTAATTTATGAAATGTCCAACAGGGGCCGACTTGTTTTGTTTCTCATGAGCTTAACTTCTATAGTCTAATTTCATATCTTCGTGTCACGATCCGGATTTTCCATCATCGGGATCGTGATGACGCCTAACCTTTAGAATGCTAGGCAAGCCAACAGATAAAGATCTAAGACGCTAATCACTAACTAAAACAGTAATTAACAATTATTTAAACAAAAACAAGATAAGAAGCGCGGAAATTTCATAACAATCTAAACACTAATACACGAGTACCCAAAGATCTGGCGTCACAATCCACGAACTTCTAAGAGTTACTATAAATACTGGTTTAACGAAAATACATCTGTTCTCGAAATGAAAGAAAACAGAGAAAACTAAGATAAATGGAAGGGGACTCCAGGGTCTGCGAACGCCAGCAGATCTACCTTGGGTCTCCTGATGGACTGAAGGCAACAACCCAACTCCGATCAACGAGGTCCGGTACCGAAATCTGCACAGAAAGTGTAGAATGCAGTATTAGTACAACCGACCCCATATACTGGTAAGTGCCGAGCCTAACCTCGGCGAAGTAGTGACGAGGCTAGGACACGACAATAACATGAACCTGTGCAGTTAAATCATATACGAGAAAATAGCAACAATGGAAATTTAACAGATGATGACGGGGAAAAGGGAAAACATGCTGAGGGGAATATCAAATCCTGAAAATTGTACAGTACAGCAACACAGTAAATATCATGCTTTGCACCAACAGAAATAATAACGTAGCAAACATGTGCACGACATCACCCTTCATGCTTTTATTCTCGTCCTTACCATAAGAAACAATAGACGCACGGCATCACCCTTCGTGCATTAACTCTCTCATAACATGGCATGGCATCACCCTTTGTGCATTATCAATATCAGAATACGGCACGGCATCACCCTTCGTGCATTAACACTCACTCACAATATCTTGCACGGCATCACCCTTTGTGCTTTACACTCGTCTCACCCAAACAACAGAAACAATAACAACCCAGCAAGGGAATCATCAATAACCAACCTCGTTTCAACATTTAACTTGACAATATAAATCTCAACTTGAGTCAATACTCAACCAATATCCAATACCAGAAAAACATAATAAGACTTGTTTAACATGAAGAATAACCAGTTTAAGCATGAACAGTATGTATAAAGAAACACAACAGTCACAAGTATAAGACTCACTCGCATGCTATGACCCGACAAACGTATAGATACTCGTCACTTCACCTATACGTCTTACTCAACAACTAAATACATAGCAAATAAGGCAACAATACCTAATCCCTGAGGCTAAGGTTAGCCACAACACTTACCTCGATTTCACGACCGAACTCAAGCCTCAAACACCGCTTTTCCCTTAGTTTCCACCTCCGAACCACTCGTATCTAATCATAATTAATTTAGTAATATCTTATCGCTAAAGAAATTATTTCCAATGCATAATTACAAGTTTCCCAACAATTCCCTAAAAAAGTCAAAAACTGACCCCGGGCCCGCTTGGTCAAAACTCGAGGTTCGGACCAAAACCTGTTCACCCATTCACCCACGAGCCCAAATATGTAATTAGTTTCAGAATCCGACCCCAAATCGAGGTCTAAATTCCCAAATTTGAAAAATCCCCAATTTTTCCTAAAATCCTTAATTCTACCATGAAAGAACAAGATTTAGGGCTAAAAATCTAATGGGTGTTTATGAAAATTGAAGGAAATGAGTTGAAGAACAAAAACCTATGAATTGGTGTTGAAATCCCTCTTCAAAATCGCTCCTAGGTCAAGTTTTTATGAAAGAGTTGTGAGTTTTTGATAAAATCCCGATTCTGGTTCTGTTTTTAAAAGACTGGACTGGCCTTTTTCGCGTTCGCGAGAAGCCTGTCGCGTTCGCGATGCACTGCGGCCAGAATGGCCTTCGCTTTCGCGAAGAGTTGTTTGCGTTCGCGATGGTCTTTCCCCCTGACCATCGCGTTCCCGGGCCTTGGACCGCGTTCGCGAAGAACAACTCTAAGATTCCCCAGCCCACCTCTATTTTACTCTACGCGTTCGCGTGATGCCGGTCGCGTTCGCGGAGAGCAGCTCCCAGTGCTTCGTGTTCGCGACCATGGCTTCGCGTTCGCGATGAACAATCCCCTCCCCAGCCCAGGTTGCACTTCACGTTCGCAAGAGTTACTTCGCGAATGCGAAGCACAAAGTATGAGCATACCAGAAGCAGCAACACAATAGATTTTTCTAAGTTTAAAACATCCCGTAGCCTATCCGAAACTCAGCCGATCCCTTGGGGCTCCAAACCAAACATGCACACAAGTCTAAAAACATTATACAGACTTGTTTACGCGATCAAATCACCAAAATAACACCTAGAACTATGAATTTAGCATCAAATTATATGAAATTTTCAAGAAAGTTCAAAAGTTCTATTTTCTCAACCAAAGGTCCGAATCACGTCAAATCAGTCATGTTTCTCACCAATTTCACATATAAGGTGTAAATATCATAACGGACCTGTACCGGGATCCGGAACCACAATACGGACCCGGTATCAACAAAATCAATTATTAAACAAATTCTTAAAACCTTTATTTTTTCAGTTTAACAATTTTCATCAAAAATTCATTTCTCGGGCTAGGGACCTCGAAATTCGATTTCGGGCATACGCCCAAGTCCCATTTATTTCTACGGGCCCTCCGGGACCGTCAATTCACGGGTTCGGATCCCTTTACCCAAAATGTTGACCGAAGTCAACTAAAATCAACTTTTAAAGGCAAAACGTAATATTTTCTCAAATTTTCACATAAAGGCTTTTCGAAAATACGCCCGAACTGCGCACGCAAATCAAGGAGAAAGAAAATGAGGTTTCGAAGGCCTCAGAACCCCGAATCGGATTCTAAAACACGAGATGAGCTTTCGGGTCATCACATTCACCTCTAAAACAACCGTTCATCCTCGAACGGACATAGAAAAGTACCTGAGCTAGTGAAAAGATGGGGATATCTGCTCCGTATATCGGACTCAGACTCCCAGGTAGCTGCCTGAACAGGCTGACCTCTCCACTACACACGAATCGAAGGATAACTCTTCGATCTCAAGTGACGAACCTACCGGTCTAGAATAGCTACCGGCTCCTCCTCGTAGGTCAAATCCATGTCCAGCTGGACAGTGCTGAAATATAACACGTGGGAAGGATCGCCATGATACTTTCGAAGCATGGACACATGAAACATTGGATGTACCGCTGATAAGCCTGGTGGCACGCGAGTCTGTAAGCCACCTCTCCCACTCGATCAAGAATCTCAAAAGGCCCGATAAACCTAGGGCTTAACTTGCCCTTCTTCCCGAACCGCATCAGACCCTTCATGGGTGACACCCGAAGCAACACCCTCTCTCCGAGAATGCCATATCACGAGCCTTACAGTCGGCATAACTCTTTTGCCTGGACTGAGCTGTACGAAGTCTATCCTGAATGATCTTAACCTTATCCAAGGCATCCTGTACTAAATCTGTTCCCGGCTCAAACCATCCAACCGGCGACCGACACCGCCTACTATATAATGCCTTATAGGGAGCCATCTGGATGCTCGACTGATAACTGTTGTTGTAGGCGAACTACGCTAACGGCAAGAACTGATCCCAAGAACCTCCAAAGTCAATAACACAGGCGCGGAGCATATCCTCCAAAATCTAAATAGTACGCTCGAACTATCCATCCGTCTGAGGATGAAATGCTGTGCTCAACTCGACCCGCGTACCCAACTCACACTGTACTACCCTCCAGGAAATGCGAGGTAAACTGCGTACCTCGATCAAAAATGATAGACACGGGCACACCATGAAGACGAACGATCTCACGGATATAAATCTCTGCCAATCGCTTTGAAGAATAACAAACTACCACAGGAATGAAATGTGCTGACTTAGTCAACCTGTCCACAATAACCCATACTGAGTCGAACTTCCTCTGAGTCCGTGGGAGTCCAACAATGAAGTCCATAGTGATACACTCCCACTTCCACTCAGGAATCTCAATCTTCTGAAGCAAACCATCAGGTCTCTGATGCTCGTACTTTACTTGCTGACAATTCAAATACCGAGCTACATATGCAACAATATCCTTCTTCATCCTTCTCCACCAGTAATGCTGCTACAAATCTTGATACATCTTGGCAGTGCCCGGATGAATAGAATACCGGAACTATGGGCCTCCTCTAAAATCAACTCACGAAGTCCATCCACATTAGGCACACAAACTCGACCCTGCATCCTCATAACTCCGTCATCTCTAACTGTTACCTGCTTGGCATCTCCGTGCCGCACTGTGTCCCTAAGGACAAGCAAATGAGGATCATCATACCGCCGCTCCCTAATACGCTCAAACAAGGAAGACCGAGCGAGTGTACAAGCTAGAACACGGCTGGGCTCAGAAACATCCAACCTCACGAACTGATTGGCCAAAGCCTAAACATCTAATGCAAGCGG